ATCATCTCCGGATCCTCCTCCCCAGGTACCATACAAGCCACTCAAACTCGCAGCAATCAACCCAGAAGCTCAGTGCACAGTAATGCTCCCAGCCTAGCTGCCCGCCCAAACATCATCCAAGAACCAACTCTTCGCGCTCTTAGGCGGCATCGGCCAACTACGTCTGTTGTGTTGATGACCGGGCAGCCGCCGACCACGCAGGGACCACCCAACGCACACTTGTATCAAACAAGGCCGCGTCGCTTGTCTCGGCGACATTTCATCTCTGGAAACAAGTTCTACATGGCCAATTCCCTTTGGCGCCGCTGGCGACGGAAAGAGCTGCACGACACGACCACGACCGCCGCCCGCTCCATTGCATCGTACATACGCCACTCTTACTCTTGCGACCTCGTCCCGCGTCTTTCCCTCTAAACCTCTTGTGACTTTTCCACAAGCCACTGACGGTATGTATTGCGATCTGTCGTTCGTTCTGTCGCTCCACCACCCTTATGTACATGTGCTTGACATTGTATGGCTACCAGCTCAATCAGATCGTTTGCGCTTGCTGCACATCGACAGAGACGATTGAACGTGACGGCCAAGACATTGGATCATGGCCGCAAAACTTGGTTCGTTCACAACAAATTAATTACTACGATTCACCGAACTCCTCCGAGCTCATCCTCGTCGTCCTTAAATACCAACCACCACTCGAACGCTCATGTTTTCTCCTCCCAAATGCTCTGTCTCCGACATACATCATCTTGCTCGCGACTTTGCCACTCCTCCATGCAGGCACGATTTGAATTGAACGCCAATGCAATGTAAATATGCACATGGAACCTGCTTTGATAATAAAGTATATTCATCATAAAGTATATCAACACATGGTCGCCGACTCACTCAACACGATCCGTGCGCCGCCTCGCGGAATCCGCGCCGGCTTCACTTGCCCGATACGTCGAGCTGCGATTCTCCTCTGCCTCCGACTCGTCACCATCCGCCGCCATTCCGAGCACGTCGCCATCAAGTGGACCGTCATCCTCGGCAGGTTCGGTGGCCGATGACGCAGCCGCACGTGACCGCTTGTCGTTATGCGTGCGAGCCTGGGGCGGTGAAGGTGCGGGACGGTCCGTGTCGGAATCACTCGTCAGCTGAGTGGTGGGCGCTTGGGGGCGGCGACCCGATTCCGACTCGCTCTACGAAGACAGCAGCATGATTGGCCCGCCCGCATCGGATCCCGACCCACCCGACGACGTCAGCGACATGACGGGGCCATCCGACACGAGCGACTCGTCGGCCGCCGCACAACGCGCCATCACTTGATCAAGGAATAGGCCAAGGCCGCCAGCAGTGCGCACAGACGGGTCGTCAATGACAGAGTCTCGGTTGACGGGTCGTGCTCGCGCGCCAGGGCCGCAGTCATGGCGGATTTGGCAAAAGTCCCAAACGTCAAAACTGAACTCGTAGGGGGATGGCGGGCGCGCGCCAGCAACAAAGGGGATTTGGCCTTGGCAGAAGAGCACAAACGAGTCTTCTGCGAGCTGCGCGCCGAGCTCGCGAATGGGTGCCGCAGACACGAGAACACGGCGGTTGCAAGGAGCAAACGGGTTGTTGCGATCTTGGAAAGGGTGTGGGTTGGGACCGACTTGGTCATGGCGGCGGACTTCGTTGGCACGCGCGAGGGCTTGGCCGAGCTGCTTGCAATGAGCTTGCACGTGGTACACAACGGTATTCACGGCTTGAGCGCGCACAATGCCCGCCTTGAGCTCATCCGCCACCACGCCCGCCGCGTCCTGGAGCGAGTCGACCAGGGGCTTGGACAGCGAGCGCAAGAAGTCGGTCGTCTCGGCCAGCGCAGCCAAGTACAAGTTCATGTCCTCCTCCAACCCCTCCTCACCGCGCGGCTTACCAATGACCCACTTTGTGCGGACGGGATCAATGCCGCCGGACGACTGCAGCTCCTTTTGCTGCGTGCGCGCGTGGTCGATGTACAACTCGACCACATCCGAATCCTACCGGCCCCAGACCTTGATCTCGGTCGTGTCCATGCCGCCCCACGCTGCCAGCTGTGCCGCAACCGGCGCATCGAGTGGGTCTTGTACCCAGGGTTCTTGCGTGTGTACGCGCGCTTGCCAAGTTGCCGCCGCTCCTCGTCCGACAAGAATTGGTTGTCCCATGACGGCATGAGCCACCGCATGCGCTGAAGGAACAGTAAAATCTCGTGCGTTAACAGCTCCTCGTTGTTGACCTTGCGCCACCGCTTGCCCGACCGCTCGTCCACCACGGACACCACCATCGAGTCGATTTGCTCGGCGTCGGCCGCCTTGCGCATGCCCTGCACCTTTGCCCGAAACGCCGCAAAGTCCACGTCCGACATCTTGCGATGGAACAGGTCCGACTGGCCATTCATCTCAAACCACTCTTGGGCGAGGTTCCAGTCGGACTCCTTGGGACCCGTGGCGTACATGAGCATCTCGGTAAACATGCCGGAAATGCCCGTGACCGACCATGGCTCGTACATGATCATGGACCCGTGCAGCTTGGGGAACAAGGGCAGGTCGGCGACGGCGGGATGGTTGACGAGGCAGGCGTCACCATGAAAGATGGTGACGGCCTGTTGGATGGCGCGGACGGGACAGAGGTGCTCATTGCCAGGAATGGCATTGCGGTACACGGTCGTGGTGGTTGGCTTGTCGCTGGTCTTTGAGCGGCGAAGCGTGAGGCGGAGGAAAGGCGGGTGCCCATCCTCATCGACGCGAAGCTGGTCGGGGAACTCGGCCTGGTCGGGGCAGATGATGTCGGAAAGCTGTATGTAAATGGTGAATGAATACAAAGTGTGAGTAATCAAGATTGGCACGGCAAGTCAAAAAACGACCACAAAATACATACCCTCAGGTTGACCAGTTCCTCGCGCCGCGAACATGCGCCAATGCCGACGAGCAGCGACAACCGCATTTGGACAATGCGGTACGCAAACCTCGGCACGTTCCTTTCGAGCTCGTGCAATCGTTCCAGAATGGACTCGATTTCACAGAGATCTTCGAACGACGGCGCCCGCTCCTCGGTCTGCTTCTTGAGCGTGATTTCGAAGGCCGACGCGAGAGCTTTCTGTAAGGTGCGGCAAGTATGAAAACAGTCAATGTGAGTGGTGAAAGATGGCGTGCAAGCGAGCAAGCAAGCGCAAAGCATAACAGACCGCCACACGAGGCGCACCAAACACTTGCCTACGTAACGGTTGAAGGTAGCGCCGTCCAAGGACTTGTACGCGGTGCCAGGGATTTCAGCGTACGGCTTGTCGGCGTGGCCTTCTTCGCGATGGAACGCGCTGTACGCCGACTGGAACTTGGTCAGCGTGGAGATGGCGCGTTGACCTTTGCCCCAGTGCCGGTCTGTCAAAGTGGACATAAAGGGAGAGGGCCGATACGAGTCAATGAGCGTGTTGCAACAGCAGGACATGCAAGCCAACATACTGATGTAGGCGGCCACGACAACGGCCGGATACGTCTCCTCAAGCAGGTTGCAGAGGAAGCCATACTCGAGCCACACCCAGCGCTGGAAGCGCAGAAGGACTTGCGCATATTCTTGATATGACCTGGTTTCAGCGGTATGTTAGATGATGCGGTACATGCGATACATGCTCGACAAAAGTAAAAAGAAGGTTTAAAAAAAAAAAAAAAAAAAAAAAAAAAAAAAAAAGTAAAAAGAAGGTGCATCCTTGGCGTTGGCTCAGGTCAGGTAGCACACGCCACCATCCAGCTCAATCTCCTTCATCTGCTCCCGGTCCTCCTCTGTCAGTGCCGCCAACTCGTCGACCCCACCATCAACGTGTTGAAGCCACTTCGTCACCCGTGAACCCATACGGCATCTTGGTCCCTTCACCGATCCATGCCGGCCAAATGCGCTGACCCTTGGGTGCTGGCACAAAGTCGGCCCACCGCCCCGGCCCCTCGCTGTCGTCCTCACTCGTGTCAGCCTCGAACTCGTCGTCGGCCGACTGGTCACCAAGGCCGCCTTCTTCACCCTCCTCATTGTCCTCGTTGATTTGGGGGTCGGCGACCATGTGTTGATATACTTTATGATGAATATACTTTATTATCAAAGCAGGTTCCATGTGCATATTTACATTGCATTGGCGTTCAATTCAAATCGTGCCTGCATGGAGGAGTGGCAAAGTCGCGAGCAAGATGATGTATGTCGGAGACAGAGCGTTTGGGAGGAGAAAACATGAGCGTTCGAGTGGTGGTTGGTATTTAAGGACGACGAGGATGAGCTCGGAGGAGTTCGGTGAATCGTAGTAATTAATTTGTTGTGAACGAACCAAGTTTTGCGGCCATGATCCAATGTCTTGGCCGTCACATTCAATCGTCTCTGTCGATGTGCAGCAAGCGCAAACGATCTGATTGAGCTGGTAGCCATACAATGTCAAGCACATGTACATAAGGGTGGTGGAGCGACAGAACGAACGACAGATCGCAATACATACCGTCAGTGGCTTGTGGAAAAGTCACAAGAGGTTTAGAGGGAAAGACGCGGGACGAGGTCGCAAGAGTAAGAGTGGCGTATGTACGATGCAATGGAGCGGGCGGCGGTCGTGGTCGTGTCGTGCAGCTCTTTCCGTCGCCAGCGGCGCCAAAGGGAATTGGCCATGTAGAACTTGTTTCCAGAGATGAAATGTCGCCGAGACAAGCGACGCGGCCTTGTTTGATACAAGTGTGCGTTGGGTGGTCCCTGCGTGGTCGGCGGCTGCCCGGTCATCAACACAACAGACGTAGTTGGCCGATGCCGCCTAAGAGCGCGAAGAGTTGGTTCTTGGATGATGTTTGGGCGGGCAGCTAGGCTGGGAGCATTACTGTGCACTGAGCTTCTGGGTTGATTGCTGCGAGTTTGAGTGGCTTGTATGGTACCTGGGGAGGAGGATCCGGAGATGATTATCGGATTGTATGTTTCAAGCCCTCACAAACACAAAAGGAAGGATGAGATGGGGATCGGTAGAACGTGTTTGAGAAGGAGGCAAAAGGTCCCGCCGAGGTTCGAACTCGGGTTACCGGATTCAAAGTCCGGGGTGATCACCACTACACTACGGAACCGTGATACTATTATCGCGTGCGCTTTTGCCCCGGATAATTTGTCACCGCTTGGCACAAAACGCAAAATGGGAAGGACATTTTGAGTCTCGGAGCTGAGCACGGTCGGTTGTTGCGTAACTAAAACAACTATGCGAGGAGGATTGCTGGCGACCCCAGGTCTGGCTCACTGAGGGCGGGAAGCAATTCGCCAACCACATGCCGAGGTTTTCGGGACAAAAAAAAACGAACCTACCAGGGATCGAACCTGGAATCTCCTGATCCGTAGTCAGGCGCCTTATCCATTTGGCCATAGGTCCTCTTGATATTAATAGGGGTTTGGTTTCGACCCGGTTCACTAAAGCATTTCTTCCAACAAAAAGTTTGGCAATTTTCCTCAACACTCACGGGCCCGTGTTCGAACCCTGCCTGCACCAGTCGGACTCTTCGGATTGCGGAAGGGAACAGACCAAGACGTTGACTTGCTTGCCTGCCCATCGGTCGCTGAGCGTTTGGAGCCATCTGCTGCTCACGGGACAGGCACAAAGAGGAGCGCACAGGAAACGCTCAACAACGAACTGCTACTTGGAGCTTCTTTGGCCCTGGACTGGGAACCGTACATCGCAGGGGTTTGGGGAAGTCGGTGGCTTGAAACAGGAGGTGTTAACAACAAGGTCGTATGGTGTAGTCGGTTAGCACACGAGACTCTGAATCTCGGGACCTGAGTTCGAATCTCAGTATGACCTAAGATGGGAAGTGGATCGCTTCATTTTTTTTTTGCCTTCACCAAACTTGAGACTTTACACATTTCATGCCAGATTACTGGGTTCTGAGGTGACTGCTTAAAGAAGCATAGCGCCATGGCGCAGTGGAAGCGCGCCAGGCTCATAACCTGGAGGTCCTCTGATCGAAACGGAGTGGCGCTATATTTCTTTTGCTCGCCTGCTCTGTTTCGGTGGTGTTTTGGTTTTGGGAAAATTTTCGGTCATCATGAGGGCGCTGGTTCGATTCCTGCCTAATCCGCACATTGTACGTCGACAGCCAACTGTATTGTCATCTGGTCTTGTCGTCTGGTCAGGTCAGCCAACAGGATGGCCGCCGCACACCGCAAGCTGGGTGGATTTTGCGTGGCCTCCGTGGGGCTACATATCGGCGAGGTCTGAAGCGGCAACCACGAGCAAACGTTGGATTCAGACAGGGCTTTGCGCCCTTCCAATCATAGCTAAAGTTGATTGTGGGCACATCATGTTCAAGTGGCCGAGCGGTCTAAGGCGGCAGCTTCAGGTGCTGTTCTCTTCGGAGGCGCAGGTTCGAACCCTGCCTTGGACATTGAGTCTGTTTTTTCTTGCGCTGTCTCTTTCTGCGTTGAGTACGTCTGCCACTTTTTGCTTTTGGCAACAGTTGAGGTCATGAGATATACATTTCCGTGTCATTGTCCACCCAGTACTCAGCAGCACCGTATCGCCATCGAGCAGCTCTGTGTCGCACGCATGGTGACGCCGGTCAAGCCAAGTGACTTTGAAATCGAGACCGCAAGAATTGGCCCTCTGAGCAACAAGTCACCTTAGTATAGTGGTTAGTACTCCACGTTGTGGCCGTGGCGGCCCCAGTTCGATTCTGGGAGGTGACATCATCCAATGAGAACCTTATCGTTTTGTGGATTAACGCGGAACTACCTGTTGGACTCATGCCCACACTGGACAACAATATGGCGCCTGGGAAAACACCACCCCCCATGGAACTCTTGCCAATTCTCACTCAAGCTTCTCAATACCAATTCCTTTTACTCATTACTACTGCCAACCCGGATCATCTCTTCCCACTCGTAGCTGCCCTCTCAACAAGCACCAGCACTGATCCGCCTTTTTTTTTCCCCGTCAGTCCACACAATGACGGCGCTTGGAACCGATTCAAATACTTTAATCAGTAATTAAACTCGTTGGTGCTCGCCGCCCAACTCATTGCATCCCTCAAGACATTCGTCACATTCCATTCCAGTTCTTGTCTTGATTTGCGAATGAGCCAAGTGGTTAATGGGCGACACTGAACCTGTCGTTCTTTTCTCTTCATTGCAGTTTGCTCCCATTACTAACTGTGTCCATGACTCACTGTGTGCATGGCTCTTCTCTCTCACGCATTCGCTATCATTTTCAATCTTTGCATGACACCACAGCCCACTATTTCATGGGAATTCAAAAGTGGACGGCCCAGAAACTACCATCGCTTGTACCTCTGTCTCACATTGCCATTTCCGTCCCTTGGGGTCCATATTTACCACCACCTTACGCATATCCTCATCTGACATGGACACTGGCAGTCTGGCATGCATGCACGCGGCGGCTCACGAATCAAAGTCGCAGCAATTTCTTCCTTGATTGTTGGACACACTCAACCGTGGGAATGTGCGGGAAAATGCGTGCACTTTTTCTTTGAGGACATGGCACATCATTCATTCATTCATTCATCAAGATCTGTTCGTTCGAATTCGTACCCACTCCAGCCAAGTCCGTGCTCCCGTCAACATGTTCTTTTCCACCATACTTTGTCTATACTCTATTCTCTATCCCGCAGCGACACTTCAATCTCGGATGTTTACTTGAGTTCCCTCCACACTCGGGTTGGGTTGCTGTGCTCCCCTCGCTGTTTGTCCCTCGCCAAGTGAGTATAGCTTTTCCTTTTCGTCGTGCATGCCCTGTAATCGCAAAAATGATTTTCGCTCTCTCATTTGCCCGTGAGTTGGACAGAGACCGAGGGAAAACGGCAAACTCTGAGCATATGAGATTATATACTGAAAAACAACGGCCAGGTAAATGTTTACATGCTCGCTCACAAGTAAAGAATTGAACGGTCGTTCATCGAAACAGTGGACTCAAGATGGGGCTGCGCGTCGGCGGATGTGTAAGATGAACGGATGGAGTGGATCAAAGGAGAAGAGACAAGAGAAATGAAATGTACAGACAGACAACAGGCGAGATCCACAACCGCACATGGAACATGATGTACTTACTCAATCAACTTGGCCGGCTCTTGCGACTGATCCGAAATCCGAGGCACAGCAGCAATATCGCGACTGCCCGACCGCTTCATCTCAATCGAGTTGGACACGCGGTCCGCAACATAGTCATGCACAAACTCGCCCATTTGCGCATGGTCCATGCCATACTCCTCGTCCTCGGCCGACGCCCGCAACTTGAGCCCACACTTGTCCATGATGAATGCAATCGCCAGTGTCACAAAGAACGACCATCCAATCCCCGCCCCAATCGACGCCAGCTGATACACAATCTGCATCGGGTGCCCAGACATGGCACCGCCCAGCTTTTCCGTCCCATCCAGCGCAATAAACGCCTTGTCGGCAAAGATGCCCGTGAGAAACCCGCCAAGTGTCCCACCCACACCATGGATCCCAAACGCATCCAGCGTGTCGTCAAACCGCAGCTGGTGCTTGAGCCGCGACGCATAGTTGCAAACAAACCCACCCAGAAACCCAAACGCAAGCGACGACGCAGGAGACACATGGCCACATGCAGGCGTGATGGCCACCAACCCCGACACAACCCCCGAGCAAAATCCAAGCGCCGACACACGTCGGTCACGCACATAGTCAATCACGAGCCACGTCAGACCACCAAGCGCGGCCGCCAGCGTCGTCGTCACCATCGCAAGCGCTGCGCGCGCATTCGCAGCACCCGCAGAGCCCCCGTTGAAGCCATACCATCCAAACCAAAGGAGCGATGTGCCGAGGATGACCGACGACATGGAGTGGGGCTTGAAAGGGTCGTCCGAAACACGGCGCTTGCCGCAGTATAGGGCCAGGGCAAGGCCAGCGTAGCCAGAGGCAATGTGGACAGGCGTGCCACCGGCAAAGTCGAGCGCACCGAGGGCGTTGAGCCATCCGTTGGCGCCCCAGTGCCAGTAGGCGATCGGGTCGTAGACCAATGTTGTCCACACGACCATGAAGACGCACATGGGAATGAGGTTAAACCTGTACGTGTGTTTTGAGTGACCATGTTAGTGCATGTGGATAGAAACAGCGCCATGGGAAAATGACAGGGACCGTACCGTTCAGCGATCGATCCGACGGCCAGTGCGGGTGTGATGGCGGCAAACATTCCTTGGAACAATGCGTACGCCAGGTTGGGTAGCGATGCAATCACGGTCTGGTCACCTCCAACGCCCATAAAGAATGCAAACTGGCCATTGCCCAAGAATGCGCCCGACGTTGTCGAAAACGTGAGCGAGTATCCAATCACAAACCATTGAATCATGACAATGGACAGCGATACGAGCGAAATCAACATGAGCGAAAGCGCAGACTTGTCGCGCGCCATGCCAGCGTAAAAGTAGCCCAGACCGGCAATCATGATCATGACGAGCGCCGTGGAAATGAGCACAAAGCCCACATCACCCGCCGCTGGTGGAGGGATTTCTTTGGGTGCTGCTTCGCCGGCCATTGTGGAAGTTGTATGAATATCGGGTGGATCGGTGATTGACGTGATTGAGATGCGGTAGGTTGCTGACGATTCGCGGTTCGCTTAGGAAGAAGGAAGAGCGTCGAGCGGCGGGGTATTGATAGGTGCGGTTGTGAGTGCGCCAAGTTTGGATGGCTGCTTTGTGTGCGATTGGGTGGTACGAAGGTTGATGTTGTTGCGTGCGATGGCGAACCGTCGAGTAAGTGTGTGTCGACGCGTACACGATGCGATGGGAAGCGAGGAGGAGGGTGGGGCCGCTTTAAGAATTGTTCGTTGTCGGTCGAAGCGGAGGGAGGGCCATCGCAGCGCCGCAAGTGGCTATCGCTTGAGATACATGGGCGCTCGTGCGCACTGCGGGGTGAGGCCAGAAGCAGAGAAGCACTCTGTAACAACCTTATCCGAAAAATTCCGACACCTGCACAGCGCAGAAGTGCGGTTTCTGGCCCGGTGGTTGGTTCAAAAAGTGATGAAGCAGTCGGGCTGTTGGTCGTGTGAGGAAATGGGACTGTTGATTTGATTTCAATTTTCAGGTTTATCGCGACGCGAGACTTGTTCGCATGGTTGGCCCTGCCGATTCAACGCGTCCTCAGCGCGCTTTTGCGGTCATGTGGAGCAATATTCTCGCACAGCATTCTGGAGCGCCTGCATCAGCCTGGACGTGGCAGCCCGGCCACTTCAAGCCGCAGATGTTTATGGATTCATTTCTGTGCCCTCGATCGGAATGTTAACGATAAGCAAAGAGGTAAGTGAACGAGGCTGATCGGGCCTTTCCTGTTTTCACGCCAGACAGACTGCTGGTCACACAGCGGACTGGCGGCGGCTCACTCCGCATCTGCCCAGCCTTTTCATCGCGTGATTGGCGGTTCGGCCCATGTGACCAACGTCGGTAAAATGAATGGAACCCATGAGTCCCGAATTATCAGGTTATCTTTTGGTGTTTTCTTTATCTTTTTGCACGGTGATGTCAATGCACCCGATGGCAACCGCAAGCCACCACTCGCGCCTGGCAAAAGTGGAGGTTAGGGGAATCGAACCCCTGGCCTCACGCATGCGAAGCGCGCGCTCTACCAACTGAGCTAAACCCCCGATTTGTGGGCTGTCGTGGCCCAGTGGTCGAGGCGCCGGGTGTCCACCGCGAAGGTTTGGGTTCGAACCCCGCGGGCGGCACTTTAGGTATGCATGCTGTTTCGTGCATAGTCCTCGGCCACAGTTTGAGCTAAGGATTTCGGTTTGGTTTGCCTGCTCAAGCCACCCATCGGTCGATTGGGTCCAAGCCGTCCGGGGTGGATCCCGCCCAATCGAGTTGTCCAAGAATCGAACCCAAGCCGCCGGATCCGCTTGTACCAAGGTGAAGGTGGTCCATGTATTGGACTGGTGCCAACCCCATCAAGTCAAGTTAGTCCAACTGCCATTTCGTGTGTATGTGTTCAACTCGGGCTTGTGTTTGAGGATTGTTGGACCTGGTTTGTGTGTGTGCGGGCCTGGCCTCATGGCGTTAGCAGGTTCCTCCATGCTTGTGTTAAGTCACTACAATACATTACCCAATAGCTAAACCCCCGATTTTGCGTGCACTCTGGTGTATTGGGTTGGTGCCTTTCCTTGCAATGCCCAACAACATGCCTTCCGCGCGATTGGTCAGCACACCACTTTTGGCTCGATCTGAACCTCCGTATTGGCGTTGGGTGCATACAGTGTTTGGTCCTGATTTGTTGTTGTAATTTTTTCTCGCACGTGAGTCTGAATTCTTCAATTTCAATACAATACCGATAAGCTAAACCCCCGATTTCTTGTTATTTCGGCTGGTTTAAGTCGGTATATATAGTCGTGCGTCAAGACGGAAATCAGGGGCAACGTTGGTTGGAGTCATGCCCCAGTCAAGAAGCAAGATCTAGACGCAAGGACTGTCTCGACTATGTACAAGGCGAAAGACGAGTCGTGCATAGGCCGCATTGCCTGCAAGGCCTTCACTGGCGAATGTTTTGGTGTGTGTGGTTGATGATGGTTGATCAGCCAAGTTTTCATTTGAGTTGTGTTGTGACAACAATTTGGAATCATCCAATGCACTTGGCATGAATAGTGACACTTTCAGCAACGAATCCGCGCTTGACATTCATACGATCTTGCGATCCGCCAGCCACCATGGACCCACCCGAGCCGACGCCTACACCCATGGCACCGCCCCTGTCGGTCGCCGCTGCTGACGACCTATTGCCACCCAAGATTGTGTGCATGTGGGACGACTGCGGCGAAGTGTTTGACGACAGCGACTACCTTGTGCAGCACATCTCGGACGTGCACGCCAAGCCGCACAAGCGCGGGCAAGAAAAGCCCACGTATGAGTGCAAGTGGGCCGAATGTCCACGGCGCGGCGTCGTCCAACAGTCTCGGTTTGCCCTCATTGCCCATCTGTACGCCACGCTCTTCTCCATGCGTTCATTTCGTTGGTTCTGTTTGGCCAAACGACTCATCCGTCACTTCAATCCGATCCAACCTCCAAACAGCCGCGGCCACACGGGCGAAAAGCCCTACGACTGCCCAATCGCCGAATGCGACAAATCGTTTTCGCGGTCCGACGCCATGGCCAAACACCACCGCATCCACCACGCCGACCAGACACTCATCAACGGCGAGTACGTGTGGCGGTCGCCACGGCTTGTTCGGCTCGAGGAGCAACGCGCACAGCGCATTGAGCGCGAGGCCGCGCGCAGAGCCGAAATTGCCGCGTCGCTTGCCGAGTTGTCGGCAGAAGCCCTCGAGCACGCGGCCGTGGCCGCGCTGACGGCCTTGGGCGGGGAGCGCGCGGCGAGTGGCAAGGGGAACAGCAATAACAAGGGCAAGCGCAAGCGGGCCCGCAATGGGGATCCAGGGGATTCAGGTGACGAAGTTGGAGATAGCGACGAGGACGAGGATGAGGACGACGATGACCAAACACAAGTCACAAGCGACGCTGGCGACGACCTGGCATCATCCAATACCACATCGAGCAGCATCGTGCACGCTGCCCTGCCCACCAACACAACGCCCGTGTCGGGGGCCGACATGGACTCCACGTTGCGCAGCCTTCCGAGCTGGCCCCACCGCATTCGCGCGCTCGAGATGCGCGTGGCCATGATTGAGAATGCAATTGCAGTGAACCGCGATGCGGTCAGAGACTTGTTGACGGAGCTGGCGACGGCACAGGCAAGCAAAGACGCCATGGTGGATCGCATCGCTCAGGTCAAGGCAAAGGAGGCTGGCGAGCGGGCAGACGAGTTGGCGGAATTGGCAGCCTTGTTGGCGGGCGAAGCCGCAAGTGGAAAAGGGACCGGGGCTGCCGCAGCCGCGGCTGCGACGGGAAAATAGTGTTTTGCGTTTTTCCGTATTACATAATGTTCATCTCCTCGCTGTATAGGTGTTGATTCCATCCTTCTTGTTTCTCAGGCATGGGAAGGCCAACTTGGGCAAGACAGCGCGAATCGTGCTAGTTCCCAAACGCGGGGCCCTCACAATGGTATCCACAAGACATACTTCTACTCACGATTGAATTAGGAATTTAATTGTGGGCGGAATAGATGCGCACCTCACACATATTCAAGCCTGGTATGCCGCTCAGCTGTGCGTGAACGTTCTGGCCCTCAGACCATAGGCATGTCACTGAAACCTCCGTCCGTCCGTCCATCCGTCCGTGCGATATGAAACGCAAAACTGATAGATCACTTGGGCTTTTGGCGGCCCGCACTGAAACCATTGGCCAATAAACCGCCCGATCTATTGACGACTCATGAATGTGTTGGTGCGGCTGCACAAACATGATGCACTGGCCAAAGATCGCGTTCGTCGGCACTCCGATACTGCAGCGGGTCATGAAATGCTGTCTCACAATCGTTTGCCTGCTAACGCCTGCTGCGGTGACAAACCGAGCGCAGAGTCTTCATATCTTCTGGCTGCATGGAGCTGCTGTTTCAATTGGTGTCGGACGCGACTCTACCCTAGCCAGGGTGTGCGTACTCGAGGCTGTTTGGGTTCCACTGCTCTATATTACTTGGTCGCTCATCGAGCAAGGAAAATGGAGGGAAGATGCATTTTGCCTGTGCGAATCCATGTCGGTTCTCAGATCGAGCTGCTTCTATGGCTGTCGCGCACGACTGATGCATGTGAGCCAACTCAACTGGTTGGAACCAGCAGCAAGCGCAGAATTGTCTTGCCAGCTCGACAGGCTTAAGCTGCGAGTTGCAAAGCGGCGACGTCCATATCCTGTCGGTTTTTTTGTTGATAGTCTGCAGCTGCTTCAATCATTCACCGAGGCCCAAGGGACAGCACATCTGCACATCCGCGTTAGCACCAGGTAGGAGATTGAACATGTCATTCGTGACGACAGCTGCCGCTGTTTCTGAGCGAACATGCAGGGGAACGGCTTGATTGTTGCTAATTGGCACGTCAACTCAGTGCTCATCCATCCACAATGTATCCAACGATATCGGCACATCAGCACAGTTTGCACTCTCCGACACTGCAGGTGAGACATCCCAAGACACAACTGATCGACATTGGCCGCATTCCGCAGCAACAATGTTTCCCCAACTTGATTGACTTGATACGTCCTGATACGTTTGCAAGTGCTAAATCCGAGTGGCATTGCGCAGCATGTGCAACCCCGCTGTCGCTCCGGCTGGCCGTCCCTCGTGCGCAGTCATGGGATCTGAAACGAGATCAAGTGTGGCCGGCAAAGGTTGTTGCTGCTTGTGGGCGGCTGGCTCCACTCCCCATGCTCACCTTTAGGCTCTCCCGCGTACGGTCAGGGAAACTCATTTGGGGTGGATGCACGCGCTTGAGCTCTGTGGACCGATGTTGGCGGCTCGCCGACCGCCAAGTATAAAGCCGTGGGCTGCCCGCAGGCGATTCCGGCAAGTGGACAATGTGGATTGCTTGCATTCTTTGAATTGATCCACTACTCTTGTTGCTTGCCCTTTCAAGGTTGTAACCATGCGCTACTCGACCCTTCTCGTCACGGTGCTGGCCGTTCTGGCCGGCACTACCACCGCTCAACCCCGTATGTTTTGCTCATGCTTTCTTTCTTGGAGAATTCGCCGCTTACACTGTGCCTTAAAACCCCATCCATCCATCCATCCATGCCATTCCCACACGACAGAACCATCGACCAACGTTCCAACATGCAACCGTTCTGCGCTCGACTGCTACTACCCCGGGTACCTCAACTGCGTGTGCCACTGCGAAAACACATGCAAGACCAACCCATTGGACCCGCGGTGCGGCGGCTGCATGCAGTTCTGCAAAGCCAAATGCCCGTGCCCCGGGGCGGGCGAGCGTGCCATGTTGACGCTGGATCCGGCAGCCTCAGAAACCGTGTTGACTGACCCGTTGCCTGGACCTTACCGTACGTCCCTATGTACCCCCCACAAGAGCTTGAGTTGTCGGCTTTTGGTTGACGTCTGTGTGCGCTACTAACTTAAATTCTATCCGTAGGCTTGTGCGCACGTTGGGGTCCTTGCGACCGCACCAAGCTCGGCGAATGCTACATGGGAGCGTATGTGCCGTGCATTCGGTCGTGCGACCGCAAGTGCCGCGATCCGGCCAATCCGGGATGCCTCGGGTGTTATGAAAAGTGCCCAAAGACGTGCGCGTGCCCTGGCGAGGAGGTGTAAAAGAAGCATATGAAGAAACCTAACGGCGCTGGTCCGCATCTCTTCTTGGGATGATGCTGTCTTGTTGGTCGGTAACGTTTATTTGTGTGTGTGCGTCCGTGTATTGTATCCTGCCGTCCAGGACAAGAATGGAAAACAGCGATGTGACGCTACGTTTTGTGAATGGAGTGTACCGGGAATGGAAGCATGCATGTAGAATGACAGGAACCGATCCATTGTGCCAACAAGACTGCATGCACTTACTGGCAAGCAATAAAACGCTGACGTGCTCGACACGCATCAAATGGGAAGAAGCGACCGGCCACTGCTCGCCATCATACCTGTCATGGTCTATTGAAAGTCGCAAAGGAATCGGTCAGCACTCATTCACGTAGTTGTCGCCCCTCCGCCCCTAGGCCCAAACAGACATACCCTGAGCCCGGAAATGCCGCCAGGTAAAAACGACATGTAATACCACACAAGGGCAACCGTGTGCAAGATGATAAACACAATGGTGAGCAGGTAGCTGTGGATCTGTTGCTTGTG